ACTTTAATTGATCAATCAAAGCGAATGAAATATTGGCAATGGCCTATTGGCAATTATTTATACAACGCGCGGAACGAACAGTTTACTCGAGAAAACTGATTTGTTATTCTATATAACGTTTATCGTGCTAAATAATTCTGGTTGTTTGTAATAATTATAGCGGATAAAACGGGGGAGTAAAATATCTCTCTTCTCTCCGGAATACAACCTAACTATTCTCCAACATTGGATTGATATTCGATGCAAATATTTGTTAAATACCATTTGGGAACATTGGTGAATAATAAAACAAGGCTTCGCCTTTTTCCACCGCTCTATTTCGCCGAAATTTCAGAGCAATTAGAATCGAACCGTGATCAAAGATATTCAAATTTCATTTCGAATTTGCCAATTGGGGCAAGAAATTGGACGGGCCGAAATTCTCGTCCGCGCGAGAACTCTTCGCTTCGTTTCCGATAGAGAGAAGACGGTTTGACGCATCACTTTTTTTTCGAATTTTTATCGTTCCTCGTGGATCCTTTCGGGAAACACGAAACGGATCGCTGCGGGGTATCCGCGTCGGAAAGGAAACCGGTGAACCAGATCCGAGATAAAGAGAGAAAGAAAAGGAATGCGCGCGTACACGGCGGCGGAAGAAAAAAAAAAGAGCACGGGGAGGGAAAGGAGGAATGCGGAAGAGGAGGGGAGGGAACATAATCGGAAATCGAAGCGGCGTTCGCATCCCTAACGAGTCGGCTTTTAATAACCTCGCTCTCGAAAATCAACGAAAATTCGCCGGCCACGCGCATTCCGCTTTTTTCCTCGACACACCCTAGCTTTTTTCCTCCGCTCTTCGACCTCTATCCGCGATGCGCGAATATAACGCAAAAACGTATCAATGTAATCGTACAAACGTTTCATTGGAATGAAAAAAAAAAAAAAAAAGGAAAAAGAAGAGAAAGAAAGAAAGAAAAATCGAAAGATCGATACGAAACGCGGATCGCAATATCATATACGAGTCGGCGAACAATCTCGTGGAACAAAGAGCGCTCGGTGCGGCGGCGCATCGATTCACGAGACTACTCATTGTCGCGCACCTTGATGAACCCTGAACGCGCAGGAAGCGAGAACAAAGCTCCACGGGTGGTCCAGTTTGAAGTGGAAACCCTTCTGAAGAACGAAACGAAGAACGCCCTTGAAACGATGGGAATGGAGATTCGGAAAGAGAGGGAGAGAGATGAAAGGAAAAGGAAGAGAGGGACAGAGAAAGTTGGACTACCGAATCAACGTTTATCTCCCCAACGAGTTGGCTTTTAATGGGCTGTTCGAAAACTGTGCGAAATAATCTGAAACCTCCCCGTCTCTGCGGGCAGCGCAGGGAACCGGAGGAGAAGAGAGATAGATAGGGGGAGAGAAGGTAATACACAATCGGTGACTGTTACGGTGGTAGTAATTGTACCGACGCCGGTGGTTGTGCGGGGTTTAGGAAAGGCAACGAGGGGTCGGCCAAGCCCCAACGACAATACCTTACGGTTCAGCGCACACTCGGCTCGGAATCATCGAGTTTGAATCCACTAGCGCGGCGGCGCGTTGATCGCGGATGGCGGTGGTGGTGACAGTGAACCCAGTTCCGGCCATGGCCAAACCCTCCGCGGCTCTGTTTAAACTAGACACGTGGCCCCGTTTACGTTTCGAGGGGTGCGCGCACCCCG